CACCAGCCTCTTGGGTTTCCAGCTTGGGCGACTGCTGTGGCTATCAGTGGTGACAGCGAACAGAGGACATGGTGCTTGGCTGTTGGATCTTCTGATCTGTCCACCTCATCTTGGAGGCGGCATGGGGGTGGTAGGGCAGGCACTGGGCTGAGAAGACTGGAAGGAAGAAAAGAGGGCAAAAATCTTTCATATGCTTTGTGCAGTAAAATCTGACTAAAATGTACATAAACCCCATAAGCCTTTTTCTAACACGAAGCAAAACAAGTTTTCTTTCTCTCGTACTTCCTTTTAGTGCTCTCTGCCGCCACCTAATGGACTGACTGGAGGAAGAGGGGATCAAGAGACAGCAGCCTGGCCTACTCCATGGCTGAGGAACCAAACCCACCCAGGCAGAAGGAATGGCAGTCCTTGGGTGGAGGAGGACCAAAAGAAGTCCAGCTGCTTCTGGAAAATCATCAGGACCCCCTTATAGAAGACCAGAAGTCCTTGGAGCTAAAAGAGACATTCGTTTATTAATAATACCTAGTTTAATTTAAGATCATTTTCAACAGATGAACATTAACCTTGACTTCTCTGCACTCCCAAAACCAGGTATAAAACTGAGGCACAAGGGAACCAATCTGTAGACATCCATGAAACTGTTTGGTGGGACAAAAATTCTGGGGCACTTGAACCTAGGTGAGCTCAGTTTTAGGTTCTCTTGTTTAACATACCACCTCTAGGTTTAGGTGTATTTACTTTAGGAATTCAGGAATGCAAAATAAAATATGGTAATCTTGAATTTGGTTAAGTTCTCATCTGAAGAGTGTGGGTAAGGACAGACAGCAGCTCATCAGGAACTGCTGCATGTGAGGATGAGGTGAGTGGAGGGGCCCAACGGAGATCTGATCCCAGGGGCTGACCAATGGGCAAGTAGAGATTGTGAACATAAACCACTCTTTTGGAAAGCTCAGCACAGAGGTAAGGGGTACGGAGCTGCTGAAAGACCAAGATAGAAGATACATCACAGAATATGATGGCACGTTAGGTAGCCTTTAAAGGGATGTTTATAGCTTTTCACAACATGGCTGTATTAGTCTGCTCAGGCTACGATAACAAAATAATACAGATTGGGTGGCCTAATCAACAGAAATTTATTTATTTCTCACAGTTCTAGAGGCTAGAAGTCCAAGATCAAGGTGCTAGCAGATTCGGTTCCTAGTGAGGGCTCTCTTCCAGGCTTGTAGATGGCTGCCTTCTTACTGTGTCCTCAAATGGTGGAGAGAGAGCGAGCAAGCTCTCTGGTGTCTCTTCTTATAAGGATACTAATCTCATCATAAGAAACCACCCCCTCTGACCTCATCTAACCCTAACTACCTCCCAAATACCATCATACTGCAGGTTATGGCTTCAACATATGAATTCTGGGGGACATAAACATTCAATCCATAACAATAGTTGATGTTTATTTTTAATGTTGAATGAATAAGCATGGCACGGCACCATGTATATCACATGATACCAATTAAAACTCAATCTAATTTGTATTTAATGCCACTGAACTATACACTTAAAAATGGTTAAGGCAGTAAATTTTAAGTGATGGGTATTTTACCACAATTAAAAAAAAAATCCAAACCAGGTGTGGTGGCTTGTGCCTATAATCCCAGCTACTTGGGAAGCTGAGGCAGAAGGATTGCTTCAGAGTTTGAGGAGTCTGAGACCAGTCTGTGCAACACATTGAGACCCCTGTCTCTTAAAAAAATATCCAAGAAGGCCCAGCGCGGTGGCTCACGCCTGTAATCCTAGCACTCTGGGAGGCCGAGGCGGGCGGATTGTTTGAGCTCAGGAGTTCGAAACCAGCCTGAGCAAGAGCCAG